TCCAGGGAATGCTGATGCCAGGCCCAACTTGAGAACTTTTGTCTGAACTGCCAACATACCCGAGGCCAGGTCATGAAATCTCGGGGAAAGCCTGCACTCTGCAGAGCCAGTCTGGCTCCTGTGGAACCACAGTTCCCACTTCCTAGCCCAACCTGGAGGGAAGACCAGGCCGTTTCAGCATCCGTGCTGTGCTGCCTGGAAGTGACAACTGGAGGAGCAGCAGTTTCTCGCCCACATGCAGATGGGCAGAGCAGTTTGCCCTGTCCAAGTCTCCCCCACAATCTCTTGAGCTTGGCCCCACATCATGAACACTCAGGATCAGTTAACCCAACGGAAAGATGACATTTTAGTTCTTCTCTTTGAGTGAAGCAAACAAATAGTACATTCTTCTGTCTTATCAATGAAGCCAGTTTCTCCCCCACAATGCCACCCACCCTGCGTGAGCACTTGACTTACAAAATCTGTCATTGTCCAAAATGCTGCAAGTGGTCCAGCCCTCCGGCTATAAATACAACTTCAAGTATTACATCTTTTCCTTTGATTTGGAAGCAGAAACATGGTTCTTCTATCGTAACCATAAACCGCCCACATACAACACAGTGTTTCAATAAACGCTAAATGATGCAAGATGCTCCATTTCAATATAATGGGTTACTTAATGAAGCCCATCGCCAAACAAAGCCACTGAGGAGAATTTGGTACAAAACAATTAACTTTGCTTTGCCTAAAACAAACTGTCCTGTGAGGTGAAGGTCTTTGGAAACGCTTTGAATGGTTAGGAACTGGAGCGATGAAATGAACAGTAAACCCTAACTGCTTTTTGGTGTTAAAGTTGGCAAACATCTCCACCTTGCTTGTTATAAAAATTCACTCTGAACAGTTTAATGCTCCTCTTGACTTACTTGCTAGTAGAATTTTACATACAAATTATTGGGTTATTTTTCATCCTTATTTTAGAAATAAAATAATATCCATTTCTTCTAAAAAGGTTAGTGGGAGACTCTGTGGGATTGTTAATTATGAATAAGTACATATCCAGGTTTCTTTAACCAGAAACTGGGGATATTCAAGAAGCCATAATTATATTCAGAGAACATGATATAAATGTGATCTTTATTCTTTCAGTTAATATTCCACCCCCGCCCCCATAGCTGTGCACCGCCTATTCACATCAAAGCCCCAGGGACACCCTTCAAGAGCTAACAATAAATGGGGTGCCCTGATACATTCATTTGGAAAATACTGTGAGCCAAAGACTATGCTAACATCTGGGATGCGATGGGGAAGGAAACAGACCCTGGCCCCAACACACTAACGCGCGCTCTCATCTCCAGCCTGGCCACTTTCCTGCAGTTGCCTGTCACGCTCTTGTTGAATTAGCAGCACCTCAGGAGTGGGACTGAGACCCATGAGCGTTTACCACGCTGGCAGAGCAGTCAAGCCCTGCCGTGCTCTGTCCTCACCCTGGAAATCTTGCCTTCAATCTCAATTTCATTTCCATTTTCTTTCCCTCGTTACATGCTGCACATCTATATAACTTCCAAGGTCCATTCAGCAGTTAAAAGCATGCTTCCCCTTGCTTTGACTCTGCTGTGGTGTTTTCAGGTTTTCCCCAAAATGTTCTCAATCTTTTGAATTAGAGAGTTCTGGCCCACTCTTCGGTACCAAGCAGAGGCGAGGACCTGCTCCTTGCGGAGTTCAAACCAAGACCTGCACAGGTGGTAGTTGTCAAGGAGCCCATGGGGAATCATGCCTAAAACCACAGCTCTCAGAGCAAAAGAAAGTGTGTATCTTATCTTAGGAGCAATGAATATGCAAGAAAGGAAGTACCTGTTATAATGAGGCACAGTTTAGACTGATAGTATATGGAATGGTAATAGGGCTCTCTCCTAGGGCGGAGAGATCTGTGTTAAACTTAGAGAATGGTTGGCGCTCAGCCCATCCTTTGACACTTATGCACATTCTTCTGAGCTGGCTGTGGTCATGTCCGGCTCCATCTGGATTCTCAGGCAGATTGAAGTGACCTGTCTCATCTGTTGAAGGCGCAAACTCTTGGGTGTGGATTATAACATTACTTGTGTATTTGTCTTATACTCCGCTGTGTTTCACTGCAGCTTCTCTCTTAAAATCATGCATTACTATTTAGCGTACAAGTTGTGCCTGGAAGGCCTGGGTCACAGCACAAAGCTTGGTGCCTTGTGTTCGAGGAGAAAAATGAAGTCTAGAAAAAGTGCCAAGGGTTAACAATTCAACAACTTGACAGTTGAAGCTGGATACACAGTGTTTAACTTTTGATTCCGGATTCCTCGTGTAAATATATATGGCCTCAAATATAAGCTTCTAAAGAAGACACTTCAAAGATTACCTTGGCCTGACCTCTAAACTGTAACCTAGCAAAACACCCAGGCTAGTTGCGTTCATTCATTCTTTCATCCATTTGTCCATTACTCACTGCCTTCTAATCACATTCTACTGGATGCTGAATATACATGATAAATGCAAACAACATTCAAAGTGTTGGGGTCACAGACCTTAGAATCATGACACAGTAAGCAAGTGTGTGGCCCAGGCAAGGCTAAGGGCTGTGAAATAAGCAGCCCTCATGAGGCGAGGAAGCATGACGGGCCGGAGGCGGACGTCCTAGGAAAGACCAACAAGTGGAGTTTAAGCTCAGAATGAAGGCGTCAGCTGCGGACCCAGTGGGCATTCCTTGCTTGGTTATAAGCCGTTGTCCGGGCTTATGCATAAAACAATTTCTAATACGCATACTGAATTAATAGCTTGAGAAACACTTTTTCAAATTTCCGTTACTAAGTCCTTTGTTGGAGTCTGATAGTCTCCCTCCTTCCACTTCAAATTCTGGTGAACTCCCTGCCCTTTCCCCATAGCTGCTACATTGCTGAGAATGCATTTCCATGGGTTTGTGGTGATTTGTCACCCCCTGAGAGCAGGAGACTATTATGTAGTACTTTTTTCAAATAACTTCAGAAGCATTAGGAAGTCAAATACTTTAATGTAAAGCCTCCAGGAGTCTCAAGTCTACATGTCACTTTAGCCTTTTTCTTTTCTTTTTTTTCTTTTCTCTTCTCTTCTCTTCTCTTCTCTTCTCTTCTCTTCTCTTCTCTTCTTCTTTCCTGCCAAGGCCATTATTAATTAACAGATGCACTTGTAGCATGGTAGGACCAGTGGATGCCACAAGCATTCATAAGTTGCTTGTTACTTACAGAAATCACTTTATTTAGTTGTCCAGACATTTGGTGACTGTACGACAAGCAGTAAGCCAGACAGACCTTGAAGGAATATGAAGATGAATAAGAAACAGTTTGCTTCTGATTAATGAAGATAAACATGATAATCCCAATTAGAGTTCATTGTGATGCCTGATATAGAGATATGTTGAGATGCCATGAAAGCCACTGTACCGGGGCAGGGAAGTGGGCCAGGGACAGATCCACTGAGGCCACACGAAGTTCCAGAAATGAGCAGTGGGGTGCTTGCATGTAACACCATGTTAGCCATTGAATGACATCAGTCTCGGTATTCTAGAAACTTCATGTAATGCAGGATCAAGAATCAGGTCAGAAAGAAATATAGCCTTTTAAACTACTATGCCCTACCAAAAGGGCAAGTGTGTTTGCACTTGTCCAAAGTAACAAGGTAATTTGGGAGGGATTTCTTCCCAATGGACAACTGTCAGAACATTTCAGACGATCACGGAGGCCTTTCTGCATGAAGAGACTCTGTTGATTCATCCAAATTAAATCGCTGCTATGGACTTCATTGGTTTTGTTATGGTGCCTGTAAGATGTCTCCGATTACACTCTTCAAAGCTGACCACCTGCTTCACCACAGGGCACAACGTCAGACCTTGCCCTCCCCAGAAAATCTTGCCTTTAAAGCCTCAGCCAGTTTTCAGGTGCAACAAACTTCACTCATATCTGTTAGTTTGTACCTATGGGTTCGTTACAGTCACCGTTAATCAACAGGATCTCTTCTGCTTGATTTGTGTCCTGACCATCTGATTTTATAGTTTGTGATTTTAAGATATTTCGCAGCTATTTCCTTCAGCTCCCTAACTTTGCTTCCCTGTAAGTGTCGAAGACACTTGGCTCGATCCGTGCAGTGTTTGCAGTACAGAAGTTCCATGACATGACTCTGATTCCAGAAGGAGCCCTTCTGAAGATGCTCTGTTGCGGCTTTTTTCAAAAAGCAGGGTTTCAACTTGCAGAGTTTGTTGAATTTTTGAAGGATATAAAAATTCTTTCCCAGTGTACTTCATACAAAGTCAAGTAAGCATGCATATACAGACTTACTAATGCATTTAGGAAGCGAGTACAGAGTCAGGGGGAATAGATAAGGTTCCTTGGCGACACCACAGCTCTCACATACAGGAATGTGTTACTACTACCTGGAGCTAGTTCAGTTAGCATACTCAGCTGTCAGAAACCCCATCACAACAACGTAAGCGAAGTTAAGACCTTTAAAATCCAAACAGGAACTAGAGCTCAATCTACATTTATGTTAGAGAACTCTGAAAACCCTGCTTTCTAATTTCTTAGTGTCCTGCAGTAACAGCCAAAATGTTGAATACATCAGAGAAAGCTACTGTTAAGACAATGAGAAGTGGTACCTGACACCCCAACCAAAGCAAAAAACAGATGGAAAATCCTATCAGTAACAACTCCAAGGCCATCATTGTCTGAGACGTAATCCGCCTTGTTTGTTGCTGGGGTAGACACAGCATAGCACAGTGTGCGGTAAGCGTTCATGGCAGTGTTGACTGGGACATGTGTAGCACATTTCAGATAGCTTTCATTTTTATTCACACTAGAAGGGATGAATTCGATCTTGGCGCTGGAGGGAGGAAGTGTGACAAGGTTGGGCTGAGTTCGGGTTGCAGCCAGTCCCGCCGGCCTGTAGGCGCATGCGCATGTGCATGAGGGCGCGGAACTCCCTGCTCGTCTACCTGTTTCTTTACCTCTCTCTTTCTCTCTTTCTAGCCGGAGACCACCCCCATCACCAACTCGTCCCACTATAATCCGTCCACTAGAATCTTCCCTGTTAGACTAAATGAAGTGTCTGGCATGGCAATTAAACCACTAATTATGCGCAAGCAACCTACCTGATAACCGTTGCAGTAAGCCCTGAGTAGTCGCATGTTGGACATCAGTAGGCAGGTAACCAGCCTCTTCACCAATGCATTCATTACTCATCGCCATGGCTCCCAGTCTCAGATCTTTGGGGTTTGACCTCTTGAAAACTGGTGACCTTTCCAGGCTTTCCAAGTTGTATTGACCAAGGTAGGTTTGTATGGCAGCCCTGCACTTCTGATTTGCCTACTCTGGCATTCGAAATTGCTTTGGACCAGTTTCCCAGGTTAGTTACCTGGTAGTTCATTAAATAAAACTGAACAGGTGTGAAATGGTGATCTTAAGACCTACGCAACATGCACATATTTCTTTTCCCACATTGTACTGAGGATGGCAGGATTCTGTGTTTGAATGTATATTGCCACCTACGAAATTATTACCTGTGTAGCTCCTCTGACCCCTTAGTTCAGAAAACTTCTAGGAAATGAAGTGTGTTTTTTGTTTTTTGGGTTTTTTTTTTGGTTAGAGGTAGAACTTTTCCAAAGCACAAGGTAGTCTGCAAAGGAGAAACCTACACTGCTTGCTTTAGAAAGCGCTCAGGCCAGTGCGCTTTGCTTCACGCCAGAAGCACGCCCAGCAGTGATCCAAGCGTCATTTTTGTCAGTCGGTCTGTAAATTTGGCTCATTAGTTTCAGAGTTCAGGGAAGAAGTGGGGGGTGGGGGGTGCAAACCTATCTCCAGAACTGTCTGGAAAAGCAGAAGCTTTACTCAACTTTGACCTCACTCCTGGTGGGTTGTAGTGACAGACAAATGAGAAATATTTGATTTTTCCAGCTGATCTGGGTTTTTTGACGTGACTAACAATTCTTTGACACTAACTCCAGTTTAGTAGTAGTACTACTAGTATTGTCATCAGTTTGGTTGAAGCAAAAACATTGTATTCCCTGAGACTTAGTAATTCCCTTCTATTCTTTACTTAGAAAGAATGATGTAAGCGTACATTTCGGCCAGTCTTATGTGAGGAGTCCTTGATCCTTCTTGAGGCTTACTGCAAGCTAAGCACATAAACAATGGGGCCTTCCCTGGAAGAAGTGTCAGTGAGGCTCCGAACCAGTGGCGTTCTGTCAGAGTCCCTGCGAGATCACGCCACAAAATGGCGTTGAAACGTTGGAATCCTAAGTAAATGCTCCATTTTCCAAGACTTCTAAAATTTACAAGAGTGGTTTAGCCAAGGGGTCAAGAGTTCATTCTTAAAGCTAAGTTTTGAACTCCCTAGGACCGAATGATTAACATGTAGGAAACAGCCAGGAGCCAGTTGGAATTCTGTCTGCTAACTGTTCCCAGACAGCAGAGCGAGTGTTCACTGAACCCCTAGGACACTAGTTCGTATTCTGCAGAAGTAAATCCGGTATTACCAACTGAAGTGTCTCCCTCTGAAAACAGCAAACATGATTTGTGTAGTTTATACTCACAGCAGACACCCATAAAGTATGAAGTAAAAAAACAAAAAAGAAACCTCTTAGCCATTATTAAAAAGAAAACTTGCCAAGTTGAATGAACTGTGTTGAATTGGTTCTGAAGGCTTATAGCCAGCCCACTCCTGATTGGCAAAACTCAGTGAATACCAGAGTTATTAAAATGACATTTCAACTTTCACGTTATGAGTGATTGTAGAAAAAAAATCAGCACCGTAAGTTCTCTCAAATCTTATTTCTCATTGCAAATAAATGAATTCTTTGTTGATAGGACCGGTGGACGAGCCGTGTGGTGTGCTTTAAAAACAGTGTCTCGGCTAAATGGGAAAATATTAAGTAAACAGCTTTGGCAAAACAGATAATCTACAGTTAGATATTTTCATAAAATTCCCCCTTTTCTTCTCCCTTTGAATTCTCTAAAATAGGCAGCTAACAGATTATATACTTCAGGGTTTGGCTTTGTGCTAAATGTGGTTTTGTATTTTGCTGTATTTCAAAAATTTTCTTCTGTTAAAGGAAAATATTCTGGATAACCACTGGTGTGTTCTCGGACCAGCATAAACCATGTCAGAGACGATGGAGGCTTTCTGTCCACATTTCCTTCCACTGATCTTAGGCAGCCATAAACAGTGGCATTTGTCATCTTTGGCTTTGGCTTTTGCTTTTAGATTACAGTCCCACAGTTGTGCTGTCCCAATTGTCTCCCTTTGTGGGTATGTTTTTGGTCTCTTTTGCTCCTAAATTATGTCTGATGGAACCCAACCACCGCTAGAATTTCATCAGTCACATTGGAGAATATCCACAGCATACTCCCGGGGCTTGCGTCCTGCTGAAGGGAGATGCCAATGAGAATGAAGTCTGAAGCTCTGGCATGTGCATGGCTTGAGGTGCAGTAAGCTCATCAGGCCTTAAGATGGGAAACGGCATAATGAGCTCCACTTCTGGCCTGTTCTGTGACTTTCTCTTGGCTAATCACTCTGATGTTGCCAACACAACAGCTATAACTCCATCCTATGTAGCGTAAAAAAAAAAAAAGAACCAAGTATTTTTAGGACTTGGAACAAGAAACTGTATATGTTTATTTGGTAGGTAAGTCTAGTTTTATTGTCACATGCTAAATCTTGCATGCATATTGACTAATTGGAATAAACATTTACTCAACTGTGGGCAGATTATTGAAAAAGTATTGATCTAGAAGATATAATGCATTTTCAAAAGCCATCTACCAAGGTTACCCTTCTGAATATTGCTTTTAGCTGTGTTTTACGACCTAGGAGAGCAGCAGGGTCTGTTTATTAGTAAGTTTACTCTTTGCTCAGATATGAACTTACTTAACTCCAAAACAGTCTTATCAAACCAGTTCCCGTGATATCACTATAAGCCTTTAGAACTTAGAATTAAAAAGTAGTCACATAGATTAATTTTGTGATTTTTTTAGTGTAGCCTGTAGCCATAATTCTCAACTACAAAATGGGACCTAATACCAGTATGTGGTAAGTGTGGGTGTTTTCTGAGTACAAACATACTTTCTATGCATGTGTCTATGTGTGCGATGTAGACACAGACTGTTCCTATGAGTGTGTATTTTGTGTCCCTTTGAATTGGTAGGTTAAAAACATTTGTTAAAAATGCCACAGCATGAGTGTTACTTATGTGCATTGTATATAGATGTATATGTATGAGTGTAAGTATCTGTGTATACATGTGCTTAGTATGTGTGGGTGTGAATACATTTTTTTCAGCTGTCCTAACAAGAGATAGCTTTGGAGGATCTGCCATCATATAACAGTGCTTGGTCTCTCATAACTTACATGAGGTTTAAAATAATGTTCTAATTCCCAAGTGTCTTCCCTTTGAGAGGTACGAGGCTCACGCGCACAGTCGCAGTGTGGTAGAGTAGTGTGTAGACGCATTTGTCACTCAGTCTACCGCACTGCCATCTACGAAGAAGTGACCTAGCAACACACTGGGATAAGTGTGAGGAATGGAGATCTGGCTCTAAGATCTCTAAAGAGAACTGGAAGTCAACCTTGAATTGCCGAGCTGAATCTTAAAATGCCAAGTTCATCTATAAAGTCTTTTGCTTTACAATATATGTTTAAAAAAAAGTACAGGAACACAGAACATAATGCAAGTAGCAGACTTTTGGCAGGTTATCTACTTTTTCAGGTAAATATTTTTCCATTTGGCAAAGAGTATAATTATTGTTCAACTGATAGGAATCTCCGTAACATTAAAAAGAAAGCTTAAACAGTCAGTGTCTGACCAGTTGGACCTAACAAAAAGCTGGTACTGTGTGAGATCTGAGCCATACCTCTGTTAACCCATCACTCAATCCCTCCTGAAAAGCTGCAGTGTGCCCAGTCACACACCTCCTGACTTGTTGGTATGATTTCAAACTTGTGCTGCTCTGTGAAACTGCAAGAATGTTTTTGACGTACATGTAGTAAATATGCCCTTTTTGTATGTGTGTAAATACACATCAGTGTAAGAACTATGTATGTGTGTGAGCAAGAGAGGAACTTTGAGGAAGAGTGGCCCATTTGTCTTAAGGTCTAGTCATACTGGTATGTGGGTGAAACTTCTCACCTGTCGGCTAGGGGGTTTCACACGTGGCTCAGCTCAAAACATGAACTTCTTTTTTGTCTTTACCCTTGAAATCCTTAAATTCACTCATTAGGTGATGTTTTTAAAATTATGACCAAAAAATATGCCTCTGCACTGTCTGCCGCCAATTTGTGGAAATGTTTTCCCAGCTGGAAATCAGCACGATTAACCTGATTTGTCCTTTGTTTTCCTTGCTTCTGTATGTTTCCTTGCTATTTTCTGGTTCAAGTTTCTCCTGTGTGCTTTCATGCGAAAGGAGTCTTCTCTGTGGCCCCTCTGATTAACACGAGCCATTTTTTGTGATGTCTTCTCGGCACCTTCAGGATTTCTTAATGCTGGTATGTGGACTCTGTGAATGGAATTTTCAAAGAAAAATTCCTAACACTTGTATCATTCTTGAAGGTCACATGTACCTGTTGTGAAAATGTGAAGCTGTATTTCTGATCCTGAAATAAATAACATTTGAAGGACCCTCTTTCTTCACTCTGATCTGTCATACATTAGAAATCCTAATATTCAGATTTTTTTTTTTTGGTTGAACTGACCCAGAATTACCAAAATGGAAAACAATACTAGTCTTCATTAATGCCACAAATATGCAGAAGAAGGAAAATTTTCAAGGGAGCCAATTGCACAGATCAAAGGCTGGGGGCGGGGGACATTGCATTTCTGGCTATAAGCCATTGTTGGGATGGACTGAAAAATGACACAATCCTGAAGTAGCTGAAGGATACGATGAGCACCATGGCACTCCACAATTGAAAAGGGAGAGGCTCATGAGCAGCCCCGAAGTGGAAGGGATATGCTCTGTGGGAGTGCCAGAGCTATAGGAGGACTTCCCTGGATGACCAAACTTCAGCCCCAGCGGTGGCCCTGGCTGGCCGCAGTGGGGGAACTTACCCTTGCTGTTCTCCGGCAGTAAGGGGATGCAAGAGCTGTGAGTAGCTTCACTCAACCTTTGAAGAGTAACTGAAGGCTCTCCATGGATGCTAAGCCTTCTCAGATCCGAGGGCCAGAGGGAGAAAGGGGAGAGAGAAGCGTACCTCTGTGGCCAGGGTACGCGTCTGTGGAATCATGAAGTAGGCCCATTGTGTTACTTCAGCCTTCCTTTTATCTGCATTTCTCGTAAGTGGAGCATTCATACCTCCCAAGAAAGCTTCTGGAAGAGACACTGTGGATGAAGGTCACACTGTGCACGTTGTTTTATCTCAGTAAATAATTCTAACATATATTGATATGTTCAGAATAGTCTCTAAGGAAAAATTACCCAGAGCAAAGCACTTTATTATAACTAATTACAAATTTCCTTTTGTGTTTTCCAAATCATGCTGGCATCAGTATAAACAGGTGATCAGTTCGTATTCAAGATTCTTGTTTTTCTGCTGGAATCTTTTCATTTCACATGGAGGCACGCGTCTGGCTTTGCATTACACTGACCTCACTGCCCTCTTCCAACACACACACGTGGCACTGCCCCTTTTCAGGCCATCTGTTGGTTTTGTTTCACACTATGGTGGTTTAATTACTAGGACATGTATAAGAGATACCGACTAAAAACCACAACCTTAACTCACCGTTTCCTAAAGTCTGTTCCAGGAGATTTTTAACAAGGTTTATGCACACACGCACCATGAGACTTTAGGTAAAATATACTTGGGAAATGAGGACTGCAAATTAAATGAATCTTTACTGGAAGACAAAGAAGAGATGGCGTTCTGACCGACCAAGAAAAAGGCGGGGGTGCGTGTTTCTCTGACTCAGCTGACCATGAAGGAAAGCTTCTTTAGAGATTGCTCAGAGCTCACGTTCCGAGCCCATGCCTTTAGGAGCGCTGCCCCAGAGGGTAGGCCCTCAGAGGCTCCCGCTGCCAGAGGCTGGGAAAGACCAGGCACAGGAGCTCCTGCCTCCAACAGTCCTCGTGGGCCTGTCTGGGTGCTGAGCCCCGTGAAGAAGCTCACACAGGAGCCATGAAAGCAGGTTCGAGATGGGCACAGTTGAACCCCAATGAGTCGTACATGGGACTCAGAATGAATCCCAATGAGTCATACATGGGACCCAGAAACTCGGAAAATATTCTGTCTTGCTTTGCTCCCGCTCTTCAAAGAAGAGAGCCTCTAAATGAATTACGTTCTCCCTCTAAGATTATTTTGATTTTAAACGAAAGATCGTCAAAGAAAAATACAGAAGAATTCCTATCCCTATTGATTTTCTTTCCTCACTTTCTCAAGCCTTCACGTTTCCCCCACAGCACTGGGTTATTAAATTACCTAAATGATGTAGAAAGAAGACAGGCAGAGACTGCTGTGCGGGATTTCAACAGAAAAGAAAACAAGTGGTATTGCCAGAGGAATGGTGCTGTCAACCAGATCGCAAGGCTGAGGTCGGTCTCAGAGAACATGGTTAAGTCATCATTTTATTATTAACTGAGTCTTTTATATGTGAATTATGCCCATGTCCCATATACAGTTTTCCTAATTTTACTGTTTTCACCATTTTTACAATGAAGTTACTTTTTAGAAATCTTAATATACCCTGAAATGACCATCTTGATGAGGTAGGCACGCTTGTACAGTCAATTCAGTATGATGAGCTTTAAGATTGGCTAGCAACCCCTCCCTCAGTTTGCATTCTGGAAGCATCAGCAGCAGGTGTAAAGAGCCCACAGGATTCAGCATTTCCCTCTGGGCATTCGCCACTGCGTAAGTCACACAAAAATTATGGAGGAGAAATAGCAAAAACGAAAACCAAACACCTGAGACCCATGATGAACTTGGCTCCTACACGGTACCATTGTCAACGTTTGTGGGGAGGTGCGAGGAGGATAAAGTGAAATAAGACAAATAAGATGCCAAGAAAGGTTACCCTGGCAGCGAAATACACTCCAAAACGTGACCTTCCAGAGCCTGTCGCTGGCTTAGAACACCAAGCTAGCAGCAACAGGGAAGCTTTGGGGCACATTCTCACGGAACATCACCTCAGCACCACACTGACTGTGCAGCGTAACAGCCCATTCCCACCCCTACCCCTGCTAAGGCCATCCGTTCTACAGCCCCTTCAAAACTCAAAAGAACTTTCTGTTGCTGGGCAGCTGATAAATCTCATGGTGCCTGGCAGAAAGTGCATGACGCTTTCTTCATGGAAACACTATTCCCTGGGTCTCCATGGGACACCCCCTCCCTGGGTGTGTGAAGCTGCATCCTTGTAGGCCCCGCGGTAGAAAGCTTAGGTACTAACGGCAAGTTCTTCATCATATAAATGGACAGGAGGCCTCCTTAGAGCTGTCAGCTTAAATTGGGTCAAAGAAAAAATTGGTTTTGGAGTTTGGGAGAGGTAAAATCTTTTGATTTTCCCCAAACCACTTCTCAGAAATAACCCAGACAGTTTGGCTGTGTTAACAACTCAAAGAAGATGAAAAAGAAGGTGTTTTTGTTTTTTAGGCTTCATTGCTCCACTCATTGAAGTGTCTTGAGATTAAGATGGAAGTGAGTATCTTGTTGAACACTCGGAGGGGTAGATGATCTCCTAAGGTCCTGGGAGAACCTCAGCATGCGGTCCAAGCAGGGAGCCGGGGCCGTGTCGGAGGCACTGGGCTGGGGTCCT